TACTGGAAATCACCACATATTTGAAGGGATATTCAGAAAGTGTGACTGAAAAGAAAGTGGCAATGGGTACCTTTCTCCTTGTGGTGGCATGGGCCGAGGACCCTGTCCTTTGGGCCGATCCATTCTGGGGGAGAGCAAGGGTCGGCCGGGCATCCTCCTGTCTCGACCTACGGAGATATCAGAGAGTAAAGCTTGAGGAGATCGCTGCGAGGGCCACATCTGACTGAACTTCCGGACATCCTTTGAGGAAAGAGCTTAACCACAACCGTTTTTTCAGGAGGGATTTTCTAATGGACAGTTAATGTGCCATGTCGTGTTATTTACCTCTGTCAGGCGAAAGCGCCATCCTCTTGCTGAGAGGCGAAGGGGGTCGCTCTTTATTGGCAGGAAAGTACCTTTTCCTATTGCCCCTGTCGGTTTGCTGCTGGCCAAAGAGGAATAAAGAAGTCACTCAACCATCGTACACTTCTGTGTACATGACCGTAACGACATGACCGTAACTACATGACTACATGACCGTAACGACACCTTCCCCATTTACCTTGTTGAGCAGGGTGAGTTTGATGTCCTTGTGAGAGCCGAATCCTCCTGGAGGACCCATAGGAGGCGGGTGCATGGGGTGACCTCTGTTTCCAGATCTAGGCATGCCCGAGCTGGTTTTGGGAGGGAGACCGGAGGGGTCCACTCGTTTTCGCTCATCTTTGAAAGGCTCGTCTTTCTTTGGCGGTTTTCCTTTAAGGCACACCAAACAAAACAGCACTGTTATTTTAGTAATATTTATATACTATTCACGTATTTAATAATATTTTGACTTGCTGTTATTTTAAATTTTCAGTTCTCCTTTTATTTCAGTTTATGTGCTTCTCAATAAGTTTTTATATATTTCTGTTTAGGTTTATTTTTATTTCAGTTGTAGAAAAGGCAACATTTCTATATTTTGTACATTTAAGTTTTTCATGTAATATTTATATTTTATTTCACAGAGGCTTCATTTCGGTTCATGATTTTTAGTTCACAATAACACCACTTCAAAAGAGTAATGTTAAAATTCTATTAACGGCCTGTTGGAGTCTTATGCGACAAGACCACAGTACCTCT